GAAGTACTCAAGGCCGGGAAAATCATCCATACGAGGACAAAGAGAAGCCTAAGGAGAGCAGCCAGAGCTCTAGTGGGGATTGGCAGATAAAAACATTCAAACAGGCTAATGTCAGATTGGGGCCTTGGATGCCAAGCTAAGTTCCCATGAGGTGGATCGCGGGAGGTCACTGGATTATATCCACTTAGGAAGGAGAAGGGCTGGAGCAGTGGTGGTAGGAGACCATGTTAGGAGTGGAGGCTGTTGTGAGGGAGTGGCTATCCTGGAGGCTGATGGGAATGGGGTGGTCAGAGTGGGGCCCACCAACGTAGAGATAAGCAGGTACTACTGGTGCTGAGACCTACAATATCCTGGAGATAAACTCCAGAGCAGTGGTCAGGGGGCCCAGATATGCCCTTGGCCTTTGGAATTCCTCTCTAGATTATTTATGTTCAAAATGCAACACCTATAGCACCAGCAGGCAGAGTGGGGTTTCTTCTGAACCCTTGGACAGGCAGTCACTGGTCAGCAACAGGGGCACATGTGGCTCAGTGGAGCCCAGGACTCGGGCTGCCTGGGTTTGAATCCTGACCCTGTCGTCAGTGCCCTCCTGCTAGACAGGGACAGCACTAGCATCTCCTTTGAGGAGTTAAATCCATGGCACACAGAAAATCCATGGCACATGGAAGTGCAGAGAACAGTGTGGAACACAGCAGGCCCTGGTTAATGTAGGCCTTGTGAAGGAGCAGTTGGTCAGTAAAATTAAAGCTGCTCTGGTTGGAAGGCGATGAGGGTGAGGCCATGCTCGTTTTCCCTGCCCCTTGCTTAGAGTTGTCCTTGATGAACTTTACCAGCTTGAAAGATCATTAGACTCTCCATTCCTGGGATTAATTTCTACATGCACATCCTGAACTCATGGGAGTTAAAGTAGGGCTAGCTGCTGATGCCTGGCTTGGAATAGCCTCTGTACGGGGTCTCTACTTCTCCAAAAAGAGCAAAGGGCAAGAATCTGAGGGGTACCTGCAGAGTCACCTGCCACCTAAGGGTACCTGAAGGATAATCTGGCCTAAGTCTGTGCTCCCCAGCATCAGAAACCATGCTCAGTGCCCCAGAGGAGAAAAGGGGGCAACTGGGTGGATCTCACCCATAGACATTGACATTCCTGCTGCCTCAGAAGTAAAGGCTTAGAGTGGGGTTTCCCTGAGAGGGAAAAGCATTTCCCCACAAGAATACAAAGCTGACATCCTTTCCTGCTTCACGAGGTGGCCTGGAATAAAATTCTACCTCATGGGACTGTTAGGAGGAATAAACTAGTTACTGCAAGTTAAGCACTCAGCACATACAAAGCATGCAACAACCTTCAACTTAGAGCTGTTATTTTTAGCCTGTAATTCTGTAATTCCAATTCTTCTTACACCTATTAAAGTAGGTATGGTGTTCAATCGGTTGAGTGTTCAGAGCCTAAATACATAGAACTGCAGTAAAAAAATTCTCTGCAAGAAAAATTCTCTGTACCTTCACATCGTGAGCAGACAAAAGATATTTCACACATTATGATGCACTATATGAGGTAAGTTAATACTTTCTAGTTTAGTTCAAGGTCACCGCTGCCATTTTAAACCTTCCAATTCCTACTAAGCCAGATCCTGCAGGAATTCTAGCAGCATTTACCAATTTGGCATCCATCCATCATGAGGGTTGTGCTGGGTGGCTGAGATCTTTGCAGAGAACTCTAACAAGTCAGTCTTGCTGACCCCCAAATTAACAAGATGGGCAGTTCTAGAAGCAGACTTTAGCTTCCATTAATAAAGGTTAACTCTTGTTACATTAGGCAGACCAATATACTCTAGGGAGTAACTAGTATCTTATTAAGTTATAAATATATTTAATGGCTTTGGTACTGGTGTCTTATTTTGGAAATGGAGGAAGAAAAAAATAGAATACCTAATCACTAGAGTCTAAGTACAATGCCACTATTTTTTTAGAACGTGTATTCACCTACACTACTACTTGTGAATTACCTTGTTTTTATAGAGCCCACACACATACTCCCTCAAAGCACAGCTGTGGCTCTTGCAGTGGTACAAGAAAGTGACAGATTATAAAATCAAATTGGTTGATTCACTAGTCTAACTAGTTCAGCAAAAAACTATGAGACTTCTCTCCCCATCTGCCCTTCCTTTTTGGTTTCTCACTAAGGGGGAAAATGTCACTTGTGCCCACCTTCATTCACTGAACTCTAGAAGGCTGAACACTGACCAGTTTTCTTAAAAACACAGTGGAGTTGGAGGGGCAGAGTTCTCATCTTTCACTTTCTGCCCTGAGAAAGAACCTACTGAAAATCATTTACCAGCTAATACATGACTGTTACATCAAGTTTAAGCTTACCTCATTTCCTGCGGCTGACCTGCTAACTGCTCCATTGACTGTGGGCAAAGTCTAGAGCTGTGTGCCCTCCAAGATGCCCCGGCCTGGGGACTGTCTTCAGGAATGCTCCGGAGGCTCGGTGGGAAGCGGTCCCTGAATTGACTGAGGAAATCTAAATAAACGCACAGGTGTTACATGCTCCATCTGGGTAACTCCCCTCACATCCCACCCCCATTCTGTTCCCAAATACAAATGAGCCACTTCATCTTTTCCCTTCTCCTGGTGAGGAACAGTGCTTCTCATCCTCACTCCCAAGAGGTCCCCGCCCCTGCGGGAGCCGTGTGAGGACACCTGCTTCTTAGGTGGGCTGGACTGATGGTAGCCAGGGGCTTCAGCAGTGCACCGCAGAGGGGTAAAGGGAAGCTTGGAAGGGTCACCACACTGCAGGGCCTGAGGTGTTTGCCTTGGTCAGGATGGACAGGTCCCCCTCAGAGAGTGGAAACATTCTAACGGATTTCTTCCCATACAGAGAATGTCTGAGCTTGCTGAGGCAATCTGTAGCTGGCTTCAAAATCAGCAACGGGGAGGGGAAAAAAGCCTCATAACAAACAGTGGTAACAGAAGGTTTGTGTGGGAAGATGGTTAAGTTTGGTTTAAAACAAGCAGTGTCTCTGGTAATGATATGTTGTTAGGAAATAGTGGGGCCCTCAGAGCCTGCAGCACTTTTAAAGAGCAGTTTTCCATTTCTTGAGGGTTTTTTTTTTTGGTAGGGCAGGGAGTCAGAGAGGGCCAACTGAGGTGAGGCAGAGACGCGACTAAAGGGCATGGAGGCATTACAGGGCAGTGGAGAAAGCCACCTCTGTGAACTGGAGCTGTGATGTCCCCCATTTGCACCCAGCTCCACTCTGCGGTTGTGGTACCACCTTTGAAGGCCCATTTACCTTCTCTGAATCACAGCAGGCCCTAAGGCATTAGCAGGGTCCTGGCATGAAACAGATGGCACACTCAGCTGGGGTGACTGAGGAAAGTTTCATAAGGGGACTATTTACAAAGGGTGTGGGCAGGGTTCAGGAACTCCTGAGGACAGTGAAGCTCCTGACGGCTGCAAAACAAGGAGTCAGGACCAATCCCCAGCTTGTGAGGACAGGACTGGGTGTGGTTATCAAACCCTAAAGTTGCCTAACAGGAGCTGTGGCCCTTGGCACATAAGCCCAGCCACTGTCAACTCGCACCTGGCAGGAAGGAGCCAACCCCTCACATCCCACCCCCATTCTGTTCCCAAATACAAATGAGCCACTTCATCTTTTCCCTTCTCCTGGTGAGGAACAGTGCTTCTCATCCTCACTCCCAAGAGGTCCCCGCCCCTGCGGGAGCCGTGTGAGGACACCTGCTTCTTAGGTGGGCTGGACTGATGGTAGCCAGGGGCTTCAGCAGTGCACCGCAGAGGGGTAAAGGGAAGCTTGGAAGGGTCACCACACTGCAGGGCCTGAGGTGTTTGCCTTGGTCAGGATGGACAGGTCCCCCTCAGAGAGTGGAAACATTCTAACGGATTTCTTCCCATACAGAGAATGTCTGAGCTTGCTGAGGCAATCTGTAGCTGGCTTCAAAATCAGCAACGGGGAGGGGAAAAAAGCCTCATAACAAACAGTGGTAACAGAAGGTTTGTGTGGGAAGATGGTTAAGTTTGGTTTAAAACAAGCAGTGTCTCTGGTAATGATATGTTGTTAGGAAATAGTGGGGCCCTCAGAGCCTGCAGCACTTTTAAAGAGCAGTTTTCCATTTCTTGAGGGTTTTTTTTTTTGGTAGGGCAGGGAGTCAGAGAGGGCCAACTGAGGTGAGGCAGAGACGCGACTAAAGGGCATGGAGGCATTACAGGGCAGTGGAGAAAGCCACCTCTGTGAACTGGAGCTGTGATGTCCCCCATTTGCACCCAGCTCCACTCTGCGGTTGTGGTACCACCTTTGAAGGCCCATTTACCTTCTCTGAATCACAGCAGGCCCTAAGGCATTAGCAGGGTCCTGGCATGAAACAGATGGCACACTCAGCTGGGGTGACTGAGGAAAGTTTCATAAGGGGACTATTTACAAAGGGTGTGGGCAGGGTTCAGGAACTCCTGAGGACAGTGAAGCTCCTGACGGCTGCAAAACAAGGAGTCAGGACCAATCCCCAGCTTGTGAGGACAGGACTGGGTGTGGTTATCAAACCCTAAAGTTGCCTAACAGGAGCTGTGGCCCTTGGCACATAAGCCCAGCCACTGTCAACTCGCACCTGGCAGGAAGGAGCCAGGGAGTGAATCTTCCCACTTCTCTTTCATCTGCCAAGCTCCTTCCAGTGTGTCTCTGGCAGATTCTGACCAGAAGCCAGAAGGACAGGTCCACAGAGACCAGCCTCCAGAGCAAAGCATGGGGACGGAAGGGGTCCGGAGGGGCAAAGAGAAAACCCAACACACCTAAACACCTGATGGAGCTGGTGGGGAGTTAAAATGAGATCATGTATGCCTGGCACAGCAAATGGTCACTCACTATCCATTTAGTCAACTTTCTATTTGGCACTTACTATTGAAAGGCCACAATATAATTTTTATTCTCAGTGGCAAAAGCCTGAATGAAAAGAGACATGTGATCATATACCCAGAGTGAAAAACAAAACTTTTACAAAGTTGACAGGTAACATTTATTAAAACATGTCATACAAAAGGGCATGAACTCTTCTATAAGAAGAAAATATTAAACAGTAACATTCAATTAAGTAAAACCATGCTGTACACTGAAGACAGCAATATATAAAGACAAAACTATTCAACTTTTGCAATACAGGCATAACATTTCACAAAAAATCAATAAGATATGCACCTAATGATAATCTGTTTATCATCAAATGATTTTGTGGTCTAAGAGTCACCTGACTTGCATAAATAAAGTAATTTTATGGAAGAAACATTGGGAACCTCTTAAAGGAAGGAAGGCAGCAGCAACTGATATTATGACACAGGCTTCAAGCAACACTAAAAAAAAAAAAAAAAAAAGTCACATTTGCAAAATGTGTTCCAGCATCTTTCCCATAGGGCATTATCAGTAGAGATCTGAAGTAAGAAACAGGTACCTTTAAATATGTAAGTAGCAAAGAAAAAGCCCAAACAAACCCTGGTTTCACTGAACAAAGTTAGTTCCAATGAGAGCAATTAAATCACAAAATTAGTGTGGCACAGGCTGGGGCTGGGATATGTTGCTTGGCTTCCAGCATTCCTTAATCATCAGAGACCTTATGAAAGCAGACTCCTGAATCTGGTGTGATGGAGCCCTTTCCACCCTCACTAAAGGGCTGCAGTGAATCCTTTCCTGGGAAAGCTGCTTCTGCTCTGTCTCAGCCTCACACTAGCAGCAGGAGAAGCCACTAAGTCTAAGCAGCTTTCCTGAACAGCTAGAAGTGTGCCTAGGGTCCCTTTGGTCCAGCAAATGCCCACTGTAACGGAGGGGACTCTTTCATGCACTCTTTGTAAGGAGTGGCCAAAAGAAGGGCCTGGAGGAAGGTGAGATTTAGAGACCAGAATTGGGCTGGGGCCCAGGAGCACCTGAGGGTAATAACCCTCAGTACCTGAGGAAAGGCTCTCTCAGGCCTTCCTTAGACAGTGATTCCTACTTTACCAAGTGGATTATTATAATGTGTATGTCTAAATTAAAGGCATGGTGTAAGTACTAATATTGAATACCACTGGCGGTGCCTTGAAGCCCTTTCCAACTGGGACTGGAGAAAAACCACAATGAAGACTCAAAGCAGGGGACAAATACCTTGGTTGCAGGCCACTGACAATCCCTGAAAGGCTGTTTGGAAAATGTTACCCACAACTATCCAAACTCTTTTGGAAGGATAAAGATTTTCTAAAGCTGCACTGAGGCTAAGGAGAGAGACTAATCTATCCAACCCAGGGTAGGCAGGAAAAAAACGATCCCCTACTCTTAAAGAGCAAGGCTTTAAAAATTCACTTTTAATACTCAAACTAAGGCAGTCCCTTCCCCCAGTCTCTCTGAACATGGGCAGCATTTTGATGCCCAACCATCTTACAGGGTCTAACTGACCCAACACAGAAACCCCAATTATCATAAAAAACTTAAAACAGCAGATGTTAAGAACTTACACTTTTAAATTCCACATGTAAGGATTTCAAGAAAAGATACACCTTTCTTCACAACATATTAAATAAGTCCCAACACAACTGAATGCTCCCAGACTGCCACCCAAGGGCTGGCTGGCTGAGAGCTCGTCATCATTACGTGACAAGGGCGCTCTGCTAACTGCAGCATAACTGAAGCATAATTTTTCCAGAGTATTTTTATTTTCTCCCCAAATGTCCCAATGCTCATTTGGTTATAATTTTTAGTGGGAAACACTACAACAAACCTTCTAAACAGGCAGAAAATGGTTTGCCAATACCACGGAAGAGGGTGATCAGCTTTTGGCAGAACAAAATGGCTTCACTGCCTTAGCACTGAAATTATTAGGAGTAACAGAACGATTTCTCCTCACACATAATTGGCTGGGATCATACCTAAACCCACTGGCTTCTAACATGAGAACAAAGGAGCAACTGAGTTTGACTGTACAGTCACTTCTATACACTTCTGTGAGGTACACAGAGAAAGGACTGTTAACTGGTGAAACTTCAACACTAAGAAGAGGATGTTAATATGGCAAACAACCAGGAGGTAATATCTAGTTTATAGGTTAAAAAAAATCAATATATATATATATATATATTTTTTTTTTTATAATAAAGTTTTTAATACAAAGTGCTTCTTATATATCGAGAATGATACAGTGTTAGTGAACAGATCCCTGTTTCATAATCTTGGTTACAAGAGCAACTGGTGATTAAGTACTTCCCTTCCCCCTTCCAGAAGTTCAATAAGTAAATGCCTTGGTGGTTGGAGCTTGAGGATCACAGGCCATTGCCAACAGTGTCTATCACACATGAGCAAAGCCAAACTTTTAAAACAAAATTTCACCTCAAATCCAAGAAAAGCTGTTTTTATTTTCAAGAAAGTTTTCCACTTGGAAGTAATAGATCAGTAAGTTTATGGAGAGTTGACATAACAGTAGCACCCTGTCCTACCCTGGTGATAACTTAGGTATATTATACAGCTTAAAAACATCCAGAATATGCTTCTTTTTTAACCTAAAACATCTGACTGATCTGCAGAAAAGGTCTCAGAATAGCTGCTTTTTTTTTTTTTTGGTAGGTATAGCTATGTGAACTTGTAAATATATGCAGTTTTATAATCTGGGAGCATGAATCTGTGGACTACTTTCTAAAATTAGGACTCCTTTTCCCCTTTTAAAAAACATCCCAGCATGCCTCAAGAACTGATAGCATTAGCTCAGTGCACCCCTCTATGAATATCTCCCCCACCAGTGTATTTTCAAGACTCCTCTTTTCTTAGGCAGTTGTTTTTTTCCCTCAAGTATAATCTGCCACTCAAAATTCTGCTACTCAGCAACTCTCATTCTGACAGTTGGAGTGTCACTGTAGCACTCTATTGACTCCTGAAGTTCACAGGTAACTCTCAGACCTGACTTCTGGCTCCTCCCCACTAACTGTGGTCACTCTTTGAGAAGCACCATTGCCTAAGAGCAAAATGGCTGGAGCAGCCAATAGTACCATGGTCAGAGTCAAAGCAGCTAGACATCTACTAGCCACAGAGCAGGTCCCATTATGTAGATGCTTCAATTAAATGGGATTTGGGACAGCAAACCAATTAGAAATACCCATCTCTGGTGCCCTAGAGAATTACAATTAGATATAATTGTTCAAACTAAATGTTAGCACTAAAACATAAAACTCTGCCTTACTAAGAGTCTGAAACACATTGTGACAGTGGCATCTTACAGAAATTGAAGCTTGTACCATAAGTTATTTTTCATACTTAGAATGTCACCCTCTTAGTATTTCCACAGTTTTTGTTACAATACCCTTCAGAAAGAATAAAACCAGATAGAGAACTCTGTTAATCAATTTAGCATCCTAGGAATCACATTATTTGTAGCTTTTACTAAAGTAGCATTTCATTCAGTGAAGCAGCTACCAAAACAAATCTGCCTTACCTAAGTATCATAGTAAAAGCAAAACAAAACCCCAACACGACCTTGTAGTCAAGAGTGATCAAAACTGCCACCTGAAATGGAACTGGCGGGCTGAGGAGTCCAGTTCCAAGTGAGGGTGCCCTACCACCATGTCCACCCGCCCCAAATCACAGCAGGCCTAAAGGTTTTACTTTGCCAGCTGGGAGGTGGGTAAACTTAGCCCCATTACTCACTCCAAGACTGGACAGCAATATACAAATCTGAGGAATTAGATTTTTTAACTGGCCTACTTAGAGCTGGTCTTTCAGAAATATCTCCTTTTTTTTAGGATTCTCTCATAATAGCAAGTAGCACGCATCATCTGTGCCCAGATTTGCATAATTACCATAGTTTATTTTTATGCCTGCCACTCAAGGGCCAGATCCTATTTTTAGTTAGCCTCAGTCGTATTCTGCTCAGCCTTTGCAGCTTCGTAGGACTTGGTACAAGAAGTCACATGCCTATGGAAACTGTCCCTCCACATAAATCTCTTTGCACAGATATTACACTCATACGGCTTTATGCCTGTGTGAATTTTCATGTGGCCCACAAGATGATGCTTCATTTTGAACTTCTTACCACAGACACCACAGCCATAAGGCCGAAGACCAAGGTGCATGCTCATGTGTCGATCTCTCTGACTCTTGTGAGTGAAACTTTTCCCACACTGACAAGGATACAGCTTGTCAGTGGCTGAGAATCCTAAATGGGCAGCTTCCTCTTTAATCCCCGTTACCATTTCAATATTCTCATTGTAGCCTCCTGCTAGGGCAGCCTCCTGTCTGTGCCCCATCAGATTCCCATCTGACCTCTCTCCAGAAAACTCTTCCATGGAAGAGCCATAGAAATCCACCTGCTCATCATAATTGCCTTCATCAGCCTGTTCATCAAACTCTGCTTCCACTTTTTTTTCCCCAATGTGAAAGTCTTCCTCTACTCCTGAAGGTTGGGCTGAGTGCTCCGTCTGCATGGTATTGACAGACTCAGTGACCTGGTGCTCGTCATAGGGCGCATGTACATCCATGCCCTCGCATGCTTGTTCGAAGCGTTCAGGCTTCACATGGATCCAGCGTTTGTGAGCCATTATGCTGGGCCTGCTGTACATGGGCCGGGTGTAGTGGAACTCTGCGCTGTCACTGGCCCCTTCCTCCCCGTCCTGGCTAGCCATTTCAGTGCTCAGCCGGTCATGTTCTGTGGACGAGTTGCTGGGAAGGTATTCATGCTCAGTGAGCTGAGATGACAGCTCGTCTTTGGTGCTCTCCTCTTCATTCTCCCCATCCCTCAGTTCTTGGGCTTTGGGGAAATCAGTATGGCTTCCAGAGCCCAGCTCAAAGCTCTCTACCAAACCATTATAACTACTGCTGCTTGGAGATTGGTGGTCACTGCCATGATTTAGCTTCTGACAGAGGACTGTAGGGTTTCCCTCTAAAACCTCAGTGCATTTGTCTACCACATGCCACATCTGAAGGAAGCTTGCTGCTGTTAAGTAACTAACAATTTCTGGGGCAGGCATTACTAGACGTCCTGTATAAGTAGATAGGAGAATGTTCTCAAACACTCTTGGGTTCATCACATCAGGCAAAACAATCCTCCTGCTGTTTTTCAAGAGTACCTGGTCACAAAAGTAGGGTGAACTGGCAGCAAGAACAGCTTTGTGTGCCCGGAAAATGTGACCTTGGACAACAATGGAGACGTCACATAATTGTCCTTGCTGGCGCTGCTGGTTCAGTTTCTGCAGAATGGTGCTGGAAAAATCAGGAAATTCTACTCGAAAAGAATTTGTTCCAGGCTCCATTTCATCACAAATCTTCTTTGGTGCTACAAGAGAAAAAAAAGTAGTACTAATTCCAGCCCATAATTATTCTAATACTAATTCCATAAACTAAGATAAGTCCCATAGTCCCCTGAAGTGCCTTGGCCCACGGTCATAGTGGGTTGAGCACTCCTCCCCCAGAGCCCGGCCTGCAGGTGCGAGTGTGCCGGAGGCAGAAACCGCCCACCAGTCTGCAGGCTATTAACTCTGGGTTTTTACTGTAGCTGAGTGAGAACAGAATCCAGAGAGGAGATTGGTAAACTACACAAATCCCCTAAGTAAAAGTAAGTAAATATTTCTAGTCGAAATAACATGATACCTATCAAAATGACAGAATTTTTAAGAGGCCTCAGATTAAACCTACATTTGCTAAACTGGGATTGAGAAAGTGAAGATGGAATTGTGGGAAGGAGAGGCATATGTAAGGCTTGGAGGCAGCAATGAATCGGCAACTGCAAGGAACTGAAGGACCATTAGGCTAGAATCCAGGAAGGGAATAAGGGGCAGGCAAGAGGCCTGAGTGGTGCGATCAAACAATGGTGCCTTTGGCCCTTCAGCACCCCAGGGGTGAGCCTGCTGAAGCCCTGAACATGTTTCTCTAGTTTCTGTCGGAATTTTAGCCCTTCAGGAGCTTCTGATAATGTGAACCAGATGAAATGGCAAAGAAAGGTGTTCCTTCTGTCTAGTGGTCTCCAAACTGTTTAAAAAGTTATAGACCGAAGAAGATAGTAAATATTGTCCCTGTTACTGAATGAACTCAATTTGAAAATAGTTATAATAAAGAATAAGGGATTACCTGGGTTGTTAATACAAGCACATTTTAGCATATACTTACATATAAATATTATTTATATTTAGTATATACGTAATATAAGCCAGTCAGGCATTAGAAATAATTTGTAACAGCAATCAAGAAGATGAACTCTGTTAGAGGTCTGGCTCATGCCTCATAACTCCTTAATAATGAGAACAAACTAAAAAACCCAACAGATTTATCAGTGCTATATATATCATCTGGCTCTAATACTATATCCAAACATTGCTAAATTCCAGGTTTTCTATGTATGAGATAAAATAATCAGACCACCAAAGACTGGAGTTATCTTTGAGAAAGATGCCAAGAGAAGAAACTAATGTTTCTTGAATAATTACTACATACCAGGAACTGTACACCTTTTTTCACTTAATCTTGATCATGACTCTGTAAATGTAGGGACTGATATTCTCAAGTTCAGCTATTTCTTTCCTAAGGTAAAAATAAAAGCTAGTTTTTATTAAGTTGGGATTTGAATCTAAGTTTCTATGACTCCAAAGCCTATGTTATTTTCCTACCACATCACCCCACCTAAGATACCAAAACAGATTAGTCATTAATAATTTGAAATAAAAAATAGATCAGGAAACAAACTAGGTATTTGCAATTTCGAAATGAAGCTTAGTAGTATATAAATGTATAGAGTAATGCCTCTGAGAACTACACCTGGGTAAACAGCTCCTCTGCAAGACCTCATCACTATAGAACTTTGTTTTTAGCTATTTGAAAAAAAGGGGGTAGGGAACAATATAACATGCAAACAAAAATTAAAGAAAGCTGAAAAACAACAACAAAAACCAAAAACCACATGCCAACTCTCGACCATTTATTCCTAGCCCCCACACAAAGGAAACCACCATTAACACACTCTTAGGTCTATGTCTAGAAACTTCTCTCTGCATATATTAGAATAAATCATATTTAGCCTTTAAATATTCCTACTAAAATGGGTCATTACCAACATTTTATTCTGCATTTACCTTTTATGACTTAATGTACCTTGCAGATCTTCTGATATGCTCTAGAATGTTGTGTCCCCAAAAATTCACGTTGAAACCTATTTCCCCAATGTGACAGTATTTGGATGTGGGGCCTTTGGGATGTGATGAGGTCATCAGGGCAGAGTCCTTGTGAATGGTATTAGTGCTTTTGAAAAAGAAACACCAGAGAATTCCTTTGCCCCCTTTGGCCATGTGAGGTTACACTGAAAAGATGGCTGTCTAAGAACCAGGAAGCAGGCCCTCATCAGACAAGAACCTGCCAGTGCCTTGGACTTTCCAGCCTTCAGAACTCTGGGAAATAAATTTCTGTCATTTGTTTATAAACCATCCAGTCTATGGTTTTTTGTTACAGTAGCCAAATGGACCAACATACTACATTAGCACAAAAAAGCTAACTTAGTCTGTTTAATGGCTATACAATTTATCCTAACTTAATTTAAGCAGTTCTCTTTCCAATTTCAGTTGGGTTTTTGAAATTATGAGCAATGCTATAATGGACAACTATACATAGCTATTTTGGCATATCTTTGGAATATATGGGTCAAAGGGTTTTTGACTTTCTGATATACGTATTACCAAATTGCTTTCCAGAAAGGCTGCACCAAATCACAAGCCTACCAACAGTAAGAGTGTCCACTCCCCCAACACCCTTACCAAAACCAGACATTATCAAACAAGGGGAAAAAATTTTTGCCAATCTTGTAAGTGAATAATCCATGATTCATTCTTGTCTTGGTCAACATGAATAAGACTGATGATACTCTACTCATGTTACTGGCCATTTGTTTTTCCAGGAACATATCAGTCATACCCTTTGCTCAAATAAATTAGGCAATTCATTTTATTGATTTCTAGTTTTTTGTTTAATTCAGGAAATTAACTTTGAAACTTATGTACATTACCCAATCTTTGCTTTTATAGCTCCAGGGTTTTGTGTTAGACAAAGAAACGTATCCAGCTCCAAGATTATTTTTAAAAAGTAAAAAGAATTATCCAGGTTTTTTCATGATGCCATTAAAAAAAAAGCATTCAAATGTCTAATACACAATGAGTTTATTTTGGCATAAGGAGTAAGGTTAGGATCCAGTCCTTTTTACTCCCAAATAGCTAGCCTATTTTCCTAACACTACTCATTGAATACTCATCTTCTGAAGATTGTAAATATCTGATGAGGAATTTAAAATGAGAACAAGACTTTTAAAAACAGTTCTACAAAAATAAATGTCATAAGTGATGTTACAGAAAATGGTGGACTAGGAAACTCAAGGGGTCAGTCCCTCTGCCCAAACAACCAGTTAGCTGTTAAAGTGATCAGAATCAACTATTTTGGAACTCTGGAATCCGATTAGGCACTTACAGCAACTAAGGCAATACTTGATGATGGGAGAGGTGGCAAAACCTCTCTAAGAGAGCAGTGTGCACAAACCAGCTATCATGCCCATTTCTCAGCCCTGCCACAGCCTCTGCTGGGACGGTGACCCACATTACTAGAGTGGCTAGTTGATGCCAAGTGGACTAAAACTGCCATGTCCTCCAAAAGTTGGGGGCTATGCATTCTGGCCAATCTGATGGACTCCTACAGCTTTGTCTGGCTTCTCCTGCACTGGCTACCCAAGCAGCATCCATCCTAGGACTTTACAGGACACACACACTCCCCTACAAACCTCCAGTAAGAGCACTTGAGGCAACGTCAGGTCACGGGGCTGACTACATACAAAAGCAGCAGAAACTTCAGTGACTACATGCAACAAGGAATACAAACTTTACAAACAGTTTGGAAAAATCACCAGACAACTGCAGTCCTTAACACGTAACAAAAGAAATCCCCTAGAAGAGGAAGAATCTCATTTCAAGAGAAAAGTTACCACATTAGAATACTCAAAATGTTCTAATTTTCAATCAACCAGTACACAAAGGAAAAGGAAAATGTGACACATTAGCAGGAAAAGGAGAATCAGACAGACACTATCCGGAGAATCCCAGACACTGGGGTGGTTAGTCAAAGATGCTAACTCAACATCTTGCATGTGCTCGAATTGCTCAAGAAAACTATGGACAAAGAACTAAAGGAAATTAAGAGAATAACATCAATAAAGAGATAGAAATTATAAAAAGGAACCAAATGGAAATTCTGGAGCTGAAAAGCAAAATACTATGTTATGGGCCAAATTGTAAAAACTCCCCAATTCATACGGCGAAGCCCTAACCCCACCTCCCCCCACCCCCGCCATGCCCCAGAATCTGTTTTTGTCTGGTCATAAGTCCTTTAAAGAGATGATTAAGTTCAAATGGGGGTGCTTAGGGTGGGCTTAATCCAGCCTAACTGATGTTCTAGTAAGAGATGAAACTTGGACACACAGAGATACATGAGGGTGTACACCAAGTGAAGACATGGTGAAAAGCTGGCCACCTGCAAACCAAGGAATAGGGCCTCAGAAGAAACTACACCTATCGGACACCATAATCTTGGACTTGTAGCTTCTAGAATTTGAAAAATACATTTCTGTTGTTTAAACCATCTACTCTGCGTTGTTTCACACCTAGGAAACAAACACAAGTTGAACTGAAAAAATTCACAAGAGGAGTTCAATGGCAGATTTAAGCAGGCAGCTCCCCTCCATCCCCCTAACCCCCAGCAATATCATAGCTAGAACAACTGAAATTCACCAGTCTGAGTAGAAAAATGAAGGAAAATGAACACGCATTCTGAGGTGCCTGTGAGACAACATCAAATGTACCAACATGTACACTATTAGAGTCTCAGAAGAAGGGTAGAAAGTTATTAAAAGAAATAGTGGTTGAAACAGATACATGAAAAGATGTTTCACGTCACTAATCATCAGGGAAATGCAAATAAAAACCACAATGAGATATCACCTCACACCAGTAAGGATGGCCAGCATCAAAAAGACTAAGAACAGCAAATGCGGGCGAGGATGCGGAGAAAGGGGAACCCTCCTACACTGCTGGTGGGAATGTAAGCTAGTTCAACCATTGTGGAAAGCAGTATGGAGGTTCCTCAAAAAACTAAAAATAGAAATACCATTTGACCTGTGAATCCCACTCCTTGGAATTTACCCAAAGAATACAAGTTCTCAGATTCAAAAAGACATATGCACCCCTATGTTTATCGCAGCACTATTTACAATAGCCAAGATATGGAAGCAACCTAAGTGTCCATCAGTAGATGAATGGATAAAGAAGAGGTGGTACATATACACAATGGAATATTATTCAGCCATAAGAAAGAAACAAATCCTACCATTTGCAACAACATGGATGGAGCTGGAGGATATTATGCTCAGTGAAATAAGCCAGGTGGATAAAGACAAGTGCCAAATGATTTCCCTCATTTGTGGAGTACAACAATGAAGCAAAACTGAAGGAACAAAATAGCAACAGACTCAGACTCCAAGAAGGGACTAGCGGTTACCAAAAGGGAGGGGTGTGGGAGGGCAAGTGGGGAGGGAGGGAGAAGGGGATTGAGGGGTATTATGTTTAGTACACATGGTGTGGGGGGTCACGGGGAGAACAGTGTAGCACAGAGAAGGCAAATAGTGAATCTGTGGCATCTTACTACACTGATGGACAGTGCCTGCATTGGGGTATGGGTGGGGCCTGGATAATATGGGTAAATGTAGTAACCGCATTGTTTTTCCATGTGAAACCTTCATAAGAGTATATATCAATAATACCTTAATAAAAAATTAAAAAAGAGAAAGAAAGAAATAGTGGTTGAAAACTTCCCAAATTTGATAAAAGACAATCCTACACATCCAAGAAACTCAACCCCAAGCAGGATGAAGTTAAAGAGATCCACGAGACACATTCTAAATCAAATCGTAGAAAGCCAAAGACAAGGGATAATATTAGGGCAGCAAAAAAAGAAGCGACCTGTCATGTAAAAAGAGACCCTCATTAAGATTAAGAGCTAGTTTCTCAGCAGAAGTCATGGAGGCCAGAAGGCAGCAGTGTAATATATTTAAAGTGCTAGGAAAAAAGTTTGTCAATGAAGAATTCCATATCTGGAAAAACAAAGTATTAAGATGTCATCTATGACAGTAACAGTATGAACGGGGATGGACAAACATGTACAGGAAAAGAGTGTTTATATACACTTAAAACTAAGTTTGAATTAGTCAGACCTGGATATTATAGATGTTAACTGTAACCTCAAGGTAACTAATAGAAAAATAACAAAATACACATGAAAAGCAGAGAAAGGAATCAAAATGGAATAACAAATAAATATTTTAAGAAGACAGTCATAGAGGAACTGAGGAACAAAAAAGATACAAAGTACACAGAAAACAGTGAAATGGTAGAAGTAAATCCTTACCAGCAACTGCTTCGATTAAATTCTCCAATTGAAAGGTAGAGACTGGCAGAATGGATTGAAAAACATGACTTATTTAAATGTTATCTATAAGAAACCTACTTTAGATAAAAGGCACAGAGGTTGTAAGTAAAATGAAGAAAAAGATATCCCATGCAAAGGGTAGCCAAGACAGCTGGGGTAACTTACATTATCATCAGAGAAAATATATTTTGAGTCAAAAAGGTTATAAGAACAAACAGTATTTTATGTTGATAAAAGGCTCAATCTATCAAGAAGATAAAACAATTATAAACATGTATACACCTAAAAAGAAAAAAAATTGAAGCATTATGTATGAAACACAATGGACAGAATCAAGACATAAATAGATGGATCTACAACAGCAGTTGGACACTTCAATATCTCACTTTCAAAAGTGGATAGAAAAACCAGAAAGAAGATCTAGAAGGAAATAGAGGACTTGAATATCATAAAGCAATCATAGCTGAGAGACATACACAGAACACAAACAAAAATGAAGTTCTGATACACGTCACATCACTGATGAATAGTGAGACCATTGTGCTAAACATTAACATCTACAAGCCAGACACAAAAGGGCAAATGCTGTATAATTCCACTTATGTGAAAGATCTAGAATAGGCAAATTCATAGAGACAGAAATAGGTCAGAGGTTACTATGGGCTTGGCGAATGCGGAATGGGAGTTACTGCTTAATGGGTAGATCTTCTGTTCAGAATGATAAACAAAAATTTGGAAATACAAAGTGGTGCTGGTTGTACAACACTGCAAGTATAATTAATGACACCAAACTGTACACCTGAAAATGGTTAAAATGGAAAACTAAATGATATTTACCACACATTTAAAAAACTGGAAAAAAAAGTCAGGTAGGTTTATTTTTAACTGTCGAGGTGGTATTAGTCCTTCTAATAAGTGTCCGACCTCTGTCCTTTGAGTGAGTGTGACATTTCTACACTCAAGAATACCTCAGAGATACTGTGGGTTTGGTTCCAGACCACTGCAATAATGTGAGTTAAATAAATTTTTTGGCCCCCCAGTGCATATAGAAGTCATATTTACACTATACTGTAGTCTGTCAAGTGTGCAACAGCATTATGTCTAAAACAGCAATGTACACACTTTAATTAAAAGATACCTTATTGCTAAAAAATGCTAACCATCATCTGTGCTTTCAGCAAGTCATAATCTTTTTGCTGGCGGAGGGTCTTGCCTTGATACTGATGGCTGCTGACTGATCAGGGTGGCAGTTGCTCAAAGCTGGGGTGGCTGTGGCAATTTCTTAATAACAAACATAGCCCCATCAATTTGACTCTTCTTTTCATGATGATTTCTTTGTAGCACGTGATGCTGTTTGATAACATTTACTCACTTTGAAGGAGTTTTTAAGAACTTCTTTAAAAATTGGAGCTGATCCTCTCAAACCTTGCCAGTGCCATACAACTAAGTTTATCGAATATTCTAATCCCTTTCTGGTCATTTCAACAATCTTCACAGATTTTTCACCAGGAGTAGTTTCCATCTAAAAATAAAACCACTTTCTTTTTCCCATTAGAAGTAATTTCTCATCTATTCAAGTTTTATTGTGAGATTGTAGCAATTCAGTCACTTCTTCAGATTCCATTTCTAATTCTAGCTCTCTTGTTATTTCAATCACGTCCACAGTTACTTCCTCCACTGAAATCTTGAACCCCTCCAAATTCATCCATGCAGGTTGGAATCAACTTCTTCCAAACTCTAGTTCATGTTGATATTTTGACCTCTTCCCATGAATCACAAATGTTCTTAATGGTATCTAGAATTTTCAGTTTACTTTTCCCAGATCCATCAGAGAAGTCACTATCTATTAGTTATAGTCTTACAAAAACTATTTCTTAAACAAGACTTGAAAGCCCAAATTACTTCTTACTCCATGGGACACAGTATGGACATTGTAGTAGCAGGAATTAAAACAATATTAATCTTGTCCATCTCCATCAGACCTCTAGGGTGACCAGATGCACTGTCAATGAACAGTAATATTTTTAGAGGAATCTTTTGTACAGAGCAGATCTCAACAGAAGGCTTAAAATTGCCAGCAAACCATGTCGTAAACAGATGTGCTGTTATCCCGGCTTTGTTGTTCCATTTATAGAGCACAGGCAGAATAGATTCAGCATAAATCTTAAGGACCCTAGGACTTTCAGAGAGGTAAATGAGCACTGGTTTCAATCTGCCTTGGTGTTGATGGCTGCATTAGCTGCTAATGAGAGGTAGCCTGTCCTTCGCAGCCAGGAACTTACTTCTCTAGCTATGAAAGTCTGAGATGGCACCATTCTTCCAATAGTAAACTGTTTTGTCTATACTGAAAATATGTTGTTTGGTGTAGCCAACTTCACTAATTATCTCAGCCAGATCTGCAAGGTGATTTGCTCCTTCACTTTGCACTTTTATGTTATAGAGACTGCTTCTTTCCTTGAATCTCATGATCCAACCTCTGCTAGCTTCGAACTTTTCTCCTGCAGCTTCCTCACCTTTCTCAGCCTTCATGGAATTCAAGAGAGTTAGGACCTTGCTCTGGATTAGCTGCTGGCTTAAAGAGTTATGGCTAATTAAGCTATGAAAGTCTGAGATGGCACCATTCTTCCAATAGTAAACTGTTTTGTCTATACTGAAAATATGTTGTTTGGTGTAGCCAACTTCACTAATTATCTCAGCCAGATCTGCAAGGTGATTTGCTCCTTCACTTTGCACTTTTATGTTATAGAGACTGCTTCTTTCCTTGAATCTCATGATCCAACCTCTGCTAGCTTCGAACTTTTCTCCTGCAGCTTCCTCACCTTTC